AACCCCGACGCCCTTTCGGACAAACTGCCCGAGGAACCAGAATCGACGCCAGCACCGATGCCGGAATCGACGCCAGTACCGAAGACAGCGCGGACTCCAGCACCGAAGCCAGCGAAGACTTCGGCATCGACACCAGCATCGATGCCAGCACCGGCGCCAGCACTGACACCAGCATCGGCGCCAGCCTCGACGCTAGCAACGAAGCCAGCATCGACTCCAGCAGTGGAGCCACCATTCGCGCCAGCATTGACACCAGCGCCGACCCCAGCATTGAAGCCAGCAAATACGCCATCGTCGACGCAAATATCGAAGACAGGGCTAAGCCTGGCGTCAAAGCCGGCACTATCGCCAGCATCGACGCCACAATCGGAGAGAGCACTAACTACAGCAACGGAGCCAACACCAACATCACCAACGAGACCAGCATCGACCCCAGAAGCGACACCAGCAATGGTACCAGTATCGACGACACCATCGACGCTAGCATCCAACAAAAACAACACCCACTTCAGCATAAGAACCAGCATCGACCTCAGCATCACAACCAGCATCAACCATAGCCTCAGCGCCAGCACTGATGCCAGTATTGACGACAACGTTTTGGCCCCAGCACTGGAGCCAGCATAGGCGCCAACACCGACACGCGAAACCGACACCAGAATCGGCACCAGCGCCGACGCCAGCATCGACGCCAGCATCGGCACCAGCGCCGACGTCAGCAAAGACGTCGACATCGATACCATCAACACCAGCACCGACTCCAGCATTTAAGCCAACACTGACCCCAGCATCGACGCCAGAAACGGCAACAGCACCGAAGACAGTAGCGACCCCAGTACGGCAGCCAGCACTTACGTCAGCATCGACGCCAGTACCGACCCCAGCATCGACGCCAGTACCGAATCCAGCATCGACCCCAGCACCAGCGACAGCATCGTAGACGGCAGTGACTCCAGCACCGGAGCCAGCAATGACATCATCACCAATGCTAGCATCGACTTCAGCATCGACGCCAATACCCACTCCAGTATTGACCCTCGCATCGACACTAGCATCCACGGCAGAACTGATTCCAGCATTGGAGCCAGCAGCGGCGACAGCGTCGACACCAGTACTCACTCCAGCATCCAAGACATCAATCACGCCAGCATCGACGCCAGCATCGAAGGGTTTGCTCACTGAAGCATCGCAGCTAGCATCGACGTCAGCATCGACACACCAGCACAGACTCCAGCATCGACGCCGACACTAACGCCATTGTCGACACAAGCTCCAAGGACAGCACCTACTCCAGCACAGGAGCCTGCATCGACGTCCGCAGCTACGCCAGCCAGCATCGACTCCAGCATCGACGCGAGCAACGACGCCAGCATCGACACCTGCGTCGGCACCAGCACTGAAGACAGTAGTGACCCCAGTGCCGCACCGCAGCCAACACCGACGTCAGCATCAACATCGCCAGTACTGGCCCCAACATCGACCCAAGCACCGATGCCAGCATCAACCCCAGCCTCACCGCCAGCATCGATGACGGCACTGACTCCAGCACCAGAGCCAGCATCTGCGTCACCACCAACACCAGCATCGACTCCAGCATCGACTGCGAAGCCACCAATGACGCCATCACCGACGCCAGCATCGACACCAGCACCGAAGACTGCATCGACTCCAGCACGGAAGCCTGCATCGATGCCAGCACCGACGCCAGCATCGACCCCAGCATCGACACCAGCACCGACGCCAGCATCGAGGCCAGCATCCACGCGCGAATCGAGGACGGTATCGACTCCAGCATCGGAACCCGCATCCATCACAGCATCGACACCACCGCCGACTCCAGCATCGAAACCAGACGCCCCACGCGGCACCCTTCCCGCTGACTTGCAACATCACGACGTCCGCCACGACTGCTACCAGCAGCAACGCCAAAACAAGGCGCCCGCCTCGGGCAAGTGGGGGTTGCAAAGGATCTCTACCCTGGGTCCGCCCTCTTACTCGTCCTCCCTCTGGCCGCGCGGTGGTTCTTCCCCTCGCCAGCAACACCGACACTACAACGACGCCCACCCCGACCCCCGCCCACATCGCCCCCAGCATCGACCCCTGCAGTGACGCCAGCACCAGCGCCAGCACCAACGCCAGCGTCGGACCCAGCCTCGATGCTAGTATCGAATTCGACATCGACTCCAGCACTGGCGCCACCACTCATGCCAGTATCGACACCGGCAGCGACCCCAGCATCGAAGCCCGTAGTGAATCACGCCAGCATCGACACCACCATCGACGCTAGCATCACAGACAAGGCTGACCCCTGCATCAAAACCAACATCATCGCGAGCATCGACACACCATCGGACAGACCACCGACTGCAGCACTGGAGCCAACACCGAGTTCAACACCAACACCAGCATCGGCCCCCAAAACGCCACCAGCAATATACCAGTATCGACGACATAGTTGGCACGAACATCAAAGACAGCACCTCCACCGATGGAACAAACATCGACGTCAACATCAATAACAGCACCGACAGCAGCATCGAAACCAGCACTGACGCCAGCATCGACGTCAGCATCGAGGATATCACCGCCTCCAACACCAGAGCCAGTAGAGACGCCAGCATCGACGCACGAACCGACGACATAATCGACGCCAGCACCAGCGCCAAAACCGACGCCAGCACCGAACTCAGCATGAACTCCAACACCGAAGCCAGCAAAGATGTCGGCATCGACACCAGCAACGATTCCAGCATCAACGCCAGCACTCAAGCCAGCATCGGCGCCAGCGTCAAAGACATCATGTGCTTCAGCATCACAGCCAGCACCGACGTTAGTAGCACCGACACCAGCATCGACCCTAGCACCGACGACAGCCAGGACGCCGACATCGACGCCAGCATCGACGCTACTAACAAAGACGCCATTCACTCCAACATCGGGGCCACCACTGACGACGCGACCAACACCAGCATTCACTATAGCACGGAAACCATCACCGACGACAACATCGACGCCAGCATCGAAGGCGTCGTTAATTCCAGCCTCAAAGTTTGAATCAACGACAGCATCGACACCAGCACTGATTCCAGCATCGACGCCAATACCAACGCCAACATCGGCGCCAGCATCGACACCAACACCGAAGACAACATCGACTTCAACACGGGAGCCTGCATCTACGTCTGCACCGACGCCAGCACCCGTGGCACCATCGACCCCAGCCTCAACAACAGCGCCGACGCCAATATCGACGCTCGCATCGAAGACAGTGTCGGCTCCAGGTCTGGAGCTCGCATCCACGACAGCATCGACACCGCCACTGAATCCAGCATCGAACCCGGCCCTCTCGACAGCACCGAAACCAAACAGGAACGGTGCGCCCCCGCCAGACGCACGAAAGCGTGAAACCCGTTGTCTTCCGACTGAACTTAACGCTACCGCGTGACCCCGATGTTAATTTGGTGGCCCCAGGGCGCCCCATGAGCCCGAGACGACTTCTGGATTGCCACAAAACGACCCCTTCAAACCCTGGCTGACGACCCCGGGAAGGTGCCAATATGTCTCCGATGTGACTCCGATGCGTTTTGTTATGCTGCCCTTGCTTGTGGCTTGGGCCGACCGGACGGATGGGGGTTGCTGGACCTCCGCCCCCTCGTCGTCGTTTCCTTCCTCCTCTCCCTCGTCCTCGCCGCCATCGTCGTCGTCGTCGTCGTCGCCGTCGCTGTCCGCCTGGCCCCCTTGGCCCCATACGCGGCAAAAGTCCGACTCCCGAACACCAGCCGAGTCCATCCCTTCTCTGATCACGATGCAAGAGTGATAAGCGGGGAGGGCGGGCGGCCGAAGGCGGGCGGCCGAAGGGGGGGAACAAGGCGACGGCCGCTCAACTGAACGGGTCACGCCCGGATCGGGCGAGTGGCGCCGGGCCCCGCCGGCGGACAGCGGCGGTTGCTGCGCCGGGGCTCCAGCGACGGCGGGGCGCAGCACAGGTGCCAGAACGAGCCCAACGGGTCAAGGGTGCGATGCAATCAGGGGCTTGGGTCACCAGGCGGTGGCTGCGCGTTCCCGGGTGGGGACGCGGGTGGGGTGCGTTCAGCAAAATGCTGGGCTGGCGGAGGCGGCGGGCGGCACGACCAAGCCCGGGGCCCCAGCGTGGCGGCTTCCGGCAACCACCCAGCGTCCTGGCGGCGCGCGGAGGGAGGGAGAGCGAGCGGGGAGGCAGGAGCGAGCAGGGAGGAGGGAGGAGGCCGCCCCGCGCCCCGCCTGCAGAAAACCCACAGGCGGGGCGGCAGCGCCGGGCAGCAGCGGCGGCGACGGGCTGCACCACACGCTGCGCTGAGGGTAGGCATCGGCGGGGGCAGCGCGCTACCCTCCAGCCAGCGGTTGGCGCGGCGCCCGGGGGGCTGGCAACCGGCGGCGTCGCCCAGCGGAGCCGGCTGCGCGGCGGAGGCGGGTCCTCCAAACGGGGGGCGAGATGGAGGGAGGCAACAAGCCAGCGGCAGGCACAACGAATGCGCACAGTGGCAGCACGCACAGGGAGATGGGCAGAGCGACCATCACGGGGAAGGGGAAGCACAAACCAGATCAGGAAGCTACGTCGTCAGACACTTGGGCTGCACAAGTAGCCTCCTCTCACCTCTCAGACTATCATCTCCCTCTCCTCCTCTTCATTCTCGTTCTCCTCCCCCCTCCTCCTCCTCCTCCTCGTCCTCCTCCTCCTCCTCCTCCTCCTCTGCCTCCTCCTCCTCCTCCTCGTCCTCCTCGTCCTCCTCCTCCTCCCTTCCTTCCTTCCTTCCTTCCTTCCTTCATTCCTTCTTCTCCTTCTCGCACTCCTCTTAACACGCCGTTCTTGGTCCACTTCCCACCCCCTGTCCTCCCTCCTCCCTCCTCCTCCTCCTCCTCCTCCTCCTCCTCCTCCTCCTCCTCCTCCTGCACCCTCATCGTTCCCCCGCCGCCTCTCTGTCATTCCATGACGTGCTGGGCTGGTCTACCCGTCGGAGATCCTTGACGGACTTGCTGACGGCATCCTCCCAAGCCTGGGAACCGAGGAAGAAGGCAATCGAGCACAGTTGGTCATCGGCAGCGGCAGAAGCGGGATGAGAGAGGACAGGGGGGAGAAGCAGGAGCAGGAGGAGCAGCGAGGAGAAGTGGGAGAGCAAGAGGAGAGGACGAGGAAGCGAGAGCGGAGGGAGGGTGCGGACAAGGATGAGGACCAGCAGCAGCAGCAGCAGCAGCAGCAGCAGCAGCAGCAGCAGCAGCAGCAAGGGACAGTGGCCGGAGCAGCAGCAGCAGCAGCAGCAGCAGCAGCAGCAGCAGCAGCAGCAGCAGCAGCAGTGGCGGCAGTGGCCGGAGCAGCAGCAGCAGCAGCAGCAGCAGCAGCAGCAGCAGATGCTCTCACAATCGTGCCGTCCACGCTGCCGAAGGGTGGGCTTCTGATCGCGCCAGCAGAAGGGGGACGGTGAAGGGAGGAGTTGAGGAGGAACATACACTCAGGGAAAGGCGGAGGAGGCGGAGGAGGAGGCAAAGGAGGAGGAACGGAGACCAGAGTGAAGCCAAGATGCATCAACATACCGTAATACAGTCAAACCGTGTATCAAGAACGGGCGGTAAGGACGCAAGTCCCCTGGGAGAACGGCAAAGGACGGGCTGCAGGGGCAGGGGCACAGAGGGCACCCGAGATGAAGGCGCGCGCCCTCACTGGGCGCGTCGACTGTATATACCCTCCCGTCCGAAGTCCCCACCTCATGCGTCCCCGCCCCGACCGAAAAAACGAACCCGCGCGTCCAAAATCGTAAGGAACACCGGGAGGGCTCGCCGCCAAAAAGGTAGCGGAACGCATGCAAACCTAAGGAACGACCGAGCCCCTTTTGAAAAGTAAGTGCTCCTTACTCAAGGCTTTGACTGTACACCCTCCCGTCCGAAGTCCCCACCTCATGCGCCCCGGCCCGTACGCCTTGCCGCTTCCCGCCTCGAGAAGCGCCCCCCTCTCGACCGACGAGCGCCCCGCAGGCCTGCAGCTCGGGCGAGGCCCCGCCCTGTCCCGCTGTGCAGACAAGGTGGGGCCATCAAATGTAAGGAACTGTCTAACGAGAAAGTTCGTCTCGTGCAGGATCTGCCATCAACCCGTGCAAGCGTTGCGGCAGGCTGCGGCGATTGGCACGACGTTCTAGGAGGTCTCAGGCCAGGGCCCCAATTTGGAACGGAGCCGCCCTCCATTCGCGCAGCTGCTGCACTGAGTTGAGCTGTGGGTCATCAATTCAAAAGCAGTCTGAAACCGCACCCCTATCTTGAAAACGAGCCGCTCACCTCGGTGCACTGCCGCAGGCTTGTTCAACACACGTGTGCAGAACCGAGGAGAGTACCCCAACTCGAAAACGATGCGTTCTCCACCAATCTAAGTGCTTCGGTGCTTTAACACGGGTGGGGTGAAAGCGACCCGCCCTACACCCGCGTAGTTGTCGCCTGTTCGAAACAGAAAAATGCTCGCGATGCCACGAGAGCTTCACTTTGAAAACGACTTGTGATCCAGCCGCGTGCCTGCCAGAACTTTCCAGCCTCCAGACCATACGTTGAGTGGAGGCCTCAGGCGAAAGGCGCGGCCCACACTGGCGACACGTCTGGTGGTGCGGCAGGGAAGGCGGGGAGGAAGGACGGAGGAGGGAGGACGACGACGAGGACGAGGACGAGATCAGAGAGAAAGAGAAACATGGGGGCGACCAGCAGGGCGAGGAAGACGCTCAGAACGAGCGGAGCACGCATACAGCATTCGAGGAACATTACACGGATTTAACATAAACTGTCGGTGCGTTTGGCCGCCCTCTGCCCCCCCCTGGCGCGCTGAATGCGCCAGGGGCGGCGCCAGAGGCGCCGCCAGAGGGGGCTCCAGGGCAGACCCAAGAAATCCGCGCGGAACCCCGAAAGTTCCCCAAACAGTGGTTGCATTTACACGTTCTCTCTCTCTCTCTCTTTTGTTTTTTTTTCTCTCTCTCTCTCTCTCTCTCTCTCTACCAAAGAGCTGATGTTGCCGCCGTCGCCGCCCTGTCGCCGCCCGTCGTCCGAGCCTGTTCGGCGGTCTGGCTGCCATGTCGTCGCCGTCGCAGCCCCGTCGCCGACCCGTGGCCGCCCGTCGTCTGGGCCTGTGCGGGGGTCTGGTGGCTGTGTTGTCGCCGTCGCCGCACCACCGCCGCCTCGCATAAACGTCGCTTCTCAAAAGAGAGAATAGGACCTGTACCGCCACCGCCCCTGTTTTATCCGCCCCCTCTGGGGAGGTGCAGTTCACTGAAGATTGTGCCCCATCGCTCATCCGAAAAAGGAACTCGTACCGACCCAACTAAGCCAAGTTCCCCCCCGCCCCCTCCTCGTCAAATCGAATACCACGAAATGCGCACGCTCACTCATCACAGATCCCCACTTGTCAAAATCATCTGCAACAAAGAGGGACGCACTGCACACGCGCGCGTCGTCGCGACCGCACGCCGGCACCTCTTAACACAATTTTCCGAGTGTCAGCATAGCGTCCCGAAAACATGTGCAGGCATACGTGGTTTGTAACATGACTGTCCCCAGGAAGCATATTCGCACGCGCGCCTGCGAACTTTTAAGGTTTTACCACCGTTTAAATCAAATGCGACCAAACGGGACTCTCGAGCGCGCGTGACGAAATCATCCAATGACAGTTTTGCACGCGCATATCAAATCTTTCCAAAACCTTCATCACCGACACGTGGACAGCACCAACGTCGTCAGCGAGACCAACATCGGCGCCGTCATTTGCTTTCCCGTCGTCATTGTCAATATCGCCACCAGCATCGCAGCTAGCACCATCGTGTTTGCAGTCGTCGGCGTCGCCACGATACCGCGCCCGCTCGAGCCGCCGACTCGCACTGAAGCGCCCGCGCGTCACCGCGGCCTGCGGCACGCGATATTTTTCAAACAAAAAACAAGCCTGCGACCGCGTTCTTGTATATTCTTGAAGAATAGACGTTCAACACATTATACAACATCGGCCTTTCGCACGCGCGTGTCGAAATCGCTCGAACGTTCCTGCGCGCGTGTTGTCGCAAAAACCTCGTCGCACGCGCGCGCGTCGTCGCGCGCGCATGCCTCACGAAACCATGTAAAAACACTTAGATTTGCAGCGCCGGTTTTCAAAATAAACCGACGCTCGCGCACCTGCAAATTCTAATTGAATTCGGCCAGACGGGCATGTCGCGCCGCATGTCGAAATCATTCGAACGCACTTGCGTGCGCGTTCTTGTCGTAAAAAATTGTTTATCAATAGTACCACTAAAATACTAACAAAAATAATAACATGCGATCCGTATCAATTTAATGTCATGCGGGTCACTCTCGCTCGTCGTCTGAGCGCGCATGTCGAACTCTTTCCAAAACTTTCGCCGCCGACGCGATGACGCCGTCATCGTCGTCGGGGCGATCAACAATCAACATCGGCGCCGTCAGTGACCGTGCCGTCGTCGTTGTCACCGTCGTCAGCAACATCGCTACTAACATCAACGCATTTACCGTTGCCGACGTTGTCATGATACCGCGCCCGCCCAAGTCGCCGACTCGCACTGAAGTGCCCGCTGGGATGTGCCCAGCGGCCAGCGCCACCGCGGCCGCGTCGGTCGCGCCAAACTAGCTGGCCGCTGCGTGCGCGTGCCTGGGTTGGCGCGGCCGCAGAGATGCACCAGCCAACGCCAAGCACTCATCGCAATCGCCACCGCATGGGTTTTGCAAACCAAGCTGCGGGTGGGCGGGTGGGATGTTTACAATAGCATGGGATGTGCCAACTGGGTTGTAACAGAAATTGCACCAAAGAGCAAACCCAATCAACGGATGGTTTTCGCTGAGGAGATCGGCCCAGAACCCGGGAGCCCGGGAACCCAAAACCCGCCGAAATCGGCCCGGAACCAATAACCGGAAACCCGGGAACCCGGAACCGGGAACCCGGGAACCCGGCCTGCTACCAAAATCGACGGGAAACTTTCGCCAAATCTTCAACTTCCGCTAGGACCCCTTCAGTGCAAGCACTGATTGGGGAACACTTGCACCACCGCATAGATCACTCCACAAATATTGCACAACATCTACTGCTTGGGGTCCACGCTGGCTAACGTGTGTGTTTATGCCGCAATGCCCTCTTCAAGATCAGGAGCAGCAAACGCAGAACGAGCAGGAGCCCAGCGACAGGCTGGGGGGCATTCCGGCAGCGCTCGGCCTCCTTGTCCTCCCTGAGGCGCTCCATGATCAGGGCAGGCAGGCGCTCCTGAAGAGGCGGCCCCAGCTGGCGGTTCAGGACCGCGAGGCGGAGTTCTCTTCCGAAGGAATCCGCATATGCATCCCTATCCCCACCCCTGCTCCTATCCCTATCCCGATCCCCCCATCGTGACCTCCCATCGTGACCCCCCATCGTGGGCCACGTCGTGGCCGTGTAATGAAAATTGCTTCGGGACTTCTGCCGCAAGGATGTCACTGCTTGCTGCTCCCTTTGCTTGCAGTCGGCCAGTGTCATGACGATGCGCGATAAGGATGCAAGGGCCTTGGAAGGCCATTTCGAGGCCTTTCGAGAGGGGCACGGCCAGCGAGGGTGGCCAAGGATGGGCCGAAGAAGCATCGTTTCACCGATCCCTATCCCCACTGGCGTGGCCTGGGCCCCACTGGCCGATTTACCCCCGAGATGGGGATATAGGCGGCTCCCTTCGGGCTTCGACGGGCAATATCCCCAACTGGGGTGGTGGGATGGTGGGGATCGGGATGGTGAGAGGAATGGGAATAGGGATCGGTTAAACGATACTGACAGAAGGAGCAAGGATGCAAGAGTACCCTTGGGAAGGATACCCATCCTAATTATGCGGGTAGGCTGTGCTTGCTTCGGATGTTTCTCCTTATGCCGCTGCAGCCTGCCGCCCTGGCACAATACTAACTACGGCTCTGCGAGAGGCGTGCCCCTGCGCGAGCACTACAAGCAATGCGCCTGCTGCAAGCTGCGGCGGCCCATCCCCGACGCTTTGTTCCCCAAAGCCGGGCACGGCGACGGCATGACCGAAAACCGACCGCACCGACAGCGAAACCGAAACCGGTCGAAACCACACAGGCCGAAAGCAGTCCAGAAGGGCGCAGCTGTGCGGCGACCGCGCAGCGAGCAGCGACCGAACCGAAGCGACTGCGACACGACCGACTGCGACGCCACCGGACCAACCGAACCGTGAGCACCCTTGCTGCACTTGCTTCCCCCCTCCTCCTCCTCCCTCCTCCTCCTCCTCCTCCTCCTCCTCCTCCTCCTCCTCCTCCTCCTCCTCCTCCTCCTCCTCCTCCTCCTCCTCCTCCTCCTCCTCCTCCTCCTCCTCCTCCTCCTCCTCCTCCTCCTTCTCCTCCTCCTCCTCCTCCTCCTCCTCCTCCTCCTCCCCCCCCCTCCTCCCCTCCTCCCCCCCAACCTTGGCCTGTCAACCTTGGCTAGTTAGGAGCAGCCCCCCGCCCTCTCCCCCCCTCATCGTCTTCATCGTCCTCGTCCTCGTCCTCGTCCTCCTCCTCCTCCTCCTCCTCGTCCTCCTCGTCCTCCTCGTCCTCCTCCTCCTCCTCCTCCTCCTCCTCCTCCTCCTCGTCCTCGTTCCTCCCCCCCCCTCCTCCTCCCCTCCCCCCCCCTCTCCGCCTCTTCCACTCATGCCCCCACCTGCTGACGGGAGAGGTCGTCCGCATCGGAGGGGGAGCGCAAACGAAAGTCCGCCAGCTTCCCTCGCAGGAGGGCCCAGCATCGAATCGACAGGTCGGCTCGGCGCAAAATCGGAGGCCGGGTCGGGAGAAGCAGCGTCGGCGCAGGCCGGCGGGCTGGCGAGGCCTCTGCGGAGAAACGAAGCCTCGGAATCCGAAGCTGGATCGACCCGGGACCGGAAGCAACCAGAGTCGAGCCGCATCTCCGGCGGCAACTCCTGCGAGCCTCCCGCACCATCTTGTTGGACCTTGCGACTCGACGCTGGCCGGCGCTGAATCGACGCTGACCGACGCTGACTCGACGCTAAATCGGCGCTGTACCTCGTCGGCCCCAGACGCTGACCGACGACAGTCCGCGCCGAACACGGAATCGGCAGGCGATGCACCGAGCTCCCAAGATCTGCCACCCGAGAAGCCGCATCGAACCCGGGGACCGGGGCCATGCTCTGGAGCCCCGAAGCGGCGCGGCGACAGGCCGCGCGGTGACCTCGACGCCCCCCGAGGCCTCACCGCACGGCCCGTCCACGCGCGGTCTTCGGGACCCCGGAGGCCCCCGTCGCCCGAGGCATCCTCGGAGAGGCACTCGAGTCCCAAAACCGTGCGGTAACGCCGAAGCCCCACCGACTCACCACACGGCGTGGTCACCACCCCGTCTGGGGGCCCCCGAGATATGACTGCCATGTGACCGCAGGACACCCCCAACATCGAAGCAATCAGGTGAATTCTGGTGTCTGGGTCACTTGCGAACTGCATGCGCAGTCTGGCACTTTAGGCGCCGACGTACGCATGCGAGGCACAACGGGGCGACGGCCGCGCCCCACTTTTCAAGTGACGTTGTTCTGTACCCATCGGTCGGAAGAAGCAGGTAGAAACATGAAGTAGGAAGGCGTTGGAAATAGATTGGGTGTCCGCACGCCGCCTGAAGAGGAAGGAAGAAGGAAAACCACTCGACTCTTGAAGTAGGAAGACGCTGAAAGTAGATTGGAATCTGGGAATCCAAAAATACCTACTTTCAACGACCGATGGGTAATGTCCCCGTCGATTGCCTTGCAGCGCCATGCATGGCGAGAGCACGGCGGGCGCCCATTGCACGGGCGCGCGCCGATCGACTCCCTCGCCCCCAAAAACGAGCCGGGACCGGAAGCCAGTCCTTGCCGTCACTCGGACGTCCATCTCCCGTGCATGTTTCGGCTTCGCGCGTGCTCTTCTTGCTCGATGGTCCAGGATGCTCCCAGATGGCCCCCGCCGAGAAAGAATGCACACGCCCGAGCGATGCCAAAAGTCCATTCCTTTCGGAAAGAAGCCGGGGCCTTTCCTTTCTCGGGAGCGGCCGAGAGGTGGGTGTCCAAGAGGGGGGGGGCAAATCATGACCGGCGGCATGTGCGCGGCCCAGCGGGGGGTCAGGGACATAATGAAATAAGAAGAGGCGGCATGAAGTCTGGGGAAATATCATGGCCCCCGCCATGATATCCACCCCCCCCTAGTCATCACCCCCCTCTTTTCCGCCCCCGACTTTCGGAAAGAGGCCGAATCGAACCGGGGCCGGAAGCCATCCAAGTCGAGCCGCACCGAACCGGAGGATGCCAGCACGGCGTGAGCCCTGCCTCGGGCCGCCGCCCGGGGCTCTGCTTCCCGGCGTGCCCGCCTCCCCCTCGCCTCCTGCCGTGCGTCTTCTTGCCTGCTGCCGCCGCCGTTGGGGCTCCTTCCCGCTGCGTGCTGGGCAGGTCCGAGCGGGATCGCATCGCAAAATCGTGTCGGGCCACAAGAGGCCTTCCCACAAGAAGCCCAATCCTGAGACACCCAAATGTCCATTCATTTTTGGTGCGGGGACGTCACGCTCTCCATGGCAAAACCTTCGAGACCCAAGAAACCCAGGGCACCCTGAAGGCAAGCCAAGCAGGGTGCTTCTTGGCCTGAGCCCCCACTGTATCGCATCGGAAGCGGCAACCCATGCAAGCGAATCGCACGAATACCTGGGTGCCGGAGGCACGGGCCAAGTTCCCCCCCCGAGTTCCAGATTTGACTACCTACCAGACCACCCCAACCCAACCCGAAGACCCGAATTTGACCCGAATTTCGGGTTGGGGGGGGTACGGGTTCCATGTGGTTTTCCAATGCTCCTCGACCCCCCCCCCACTGGAACTGGAGGGCACATTGAGGCCTTCGGGTTGGGTTGGGGTCGTTTTCGGGAGCGGCCAAGAGGGGGGGTCCAAGAGGGGGGGGTGCAAATCATGACCGGCGGCATGTGCGCGGCCCAGCGGGGGGGCCGGGGACGTCATGAATCAAGAAGAAGCGCCCTGAGATCTGGGGAGATATCATGGCCCCCGCCATGATACCCCCCCCCCTAGTCATCACCCCCCTCCTCCTCCTCCTCCTTCTCCTCCTCCGCTTCCTCTTCCTCCTCCTCCTCCTCCTCGCTCCTCCTCCTCCTCCTCCTGCTCCTCCTCCTCCTCCTCCTCCTCCTCCTCCTCCTCCTCCTGCTCCTCCTCCTCCTCCTCCTCCTCCTCCCCCTCCTCCTCCGAGTGAAGATTGGCACGGCCTTCGGCCCGATCGGGAGCAGCGCAGCGCAGCGGAAGCGGGAAGCAGATCGCCGGCCAGTCGTCCCAGATCGAGCCTGCCGCAGCACGGCTCGCCGCGCCCGGCTCTCCAGCGGGCCCTGGCCGATGCCTGGCGCATCGAACCGAATCGAACCGAATCGAGCTCGCGGCTCGCGGCTCCGAATCGAACCGAATCGAGCTCGAGGGGCGGAAAGTAAAACAGGGCTGGGATCGGGATAAATCGCTCCAGAGCGTTCCGGAGCGCTCTCAGAGCGTTCTGGAACGCTCTGGAGCGGCCGCGGCGCCCAATACGTCCTCCAAACCCGCCGATTCTCAGAGATTTCGAGGTATCCCGATCCGATTTTGTCGATCGCGGCTCCAGTCGGCGAATCGAATCTCGGGCCGGGCGAAAGGGGGGATAGCAAAGGGGGGGTTTGAGAATCAGCTCACGGAGCTGACTTTCCCGGCGCCTCCCCGCGCCGGGAGGCGCCCATGTATCGAGGAATGGGCCCCTCGGCGGGGCCGAAACCAGCTGCAGCAGATTTCGTAACCCCCCCTTTCCCAATCCCCCCCTTTCGTCCGGCCCGAGAATCGCACTGAATCGAAGACCCGCTGCGCTGCAGATTATCCCGGCAAAGCAACCTAACAGCGATGTGTAGGAGCATATCTGGCAGCATTCCCCTTAAGATTCAGATGAGAATCCAGTTGTAGAATTCTGCTGTTCTCGCAGTCGCAGTCGCATTCGCGATGACAGTCGCAGTGGCAACGACAGTCGCAGTCACAGCCTCAGCCTCCGCCGCAGCCTCAGCCTGCCTCAGCCTCAGCCTCAGCCTGCCTCAGCCTCAGCCTGCTTCAGCCTCAGCCTCAGTCTGCCTTCAGCCTCAGTCTGCCTTCAGCCTCGGCCTCAGCCTCAGCCTGTCTCAGCCTCAGCCTGCAACAGCCTCAGCCTCAGCCTCAGCCTGCCTCACCATCAGCCTGCCTCAGCCTCAGCCTCAGCCTGCCTCAGCCTCAGCCTCAGCCTGCTTCAGCCTCAGCCTCAATCTGCCTTCAGCCTCGGCCTCAGCCTCAGCCTGCCTCAGCCTCAGCCTGCATCAGCCTGAGCCTCAGCCTCAGCCTGCCTCAGCATCAGCCTGCTTCAGCCTCAGCCTCAGCCTCAGCCTCAGCCTGCTTAAGCCTCAGCCTCAGTCTGCCTTCAGCCTCGGCCTCAGCATCAGCCTGCCTCTGCCTCAGCCTGCCTCAGCCTCAGCCTGCCTCAGCCTCAGCCTCAGCCTGCCTCAACCTCAGCCTCAGTCTGCCTCAGCATTCAAAATGTGGCCCGGGAATGGAGTTCTGGGACACGAAGTGGCCTGCAGTTGGCTCTGGGCATTCAAAATCATGCTCAGGAATGGAGTTCTGGGAACTCGAAGACCACGAAGTGGCCTACAGTTGGCTCCGGGCATTCAAAATCATGCCCAGGAATGGAGTTCTGGGAACTCGAAGACCACGAAGTGGCCTACAGTTGGCTCCGTGCATCCAAAATCATGCCCAGGAATGGACTTCTGGGATCTCGAAGAGCACGAAGTGGCCTACAGTTGGCTCCGGGCATTCAAAATGTGGCCCGGGAATGCAGTTTTGGGAACTCGAAGAGCACGAAGTGGCCTACAGTTGGCTCCGGGCATTCAAAATCATGCCCAGGAGTGGAGTTCTGGGAACTCGAAGACCACGAAGTGGCCTACAGTGCGCTCCGTGCATTCAAAATCATGCCCAGGAATGGACTTCTGGGATCTCGAAGACCACGAAGTGGCCTACACTGTTTGCTTAAAACGACTTCCGCGGCTTCTCCCCGGCACCCGCCCAGACCCCCCTGGGGAGTCAAGATGCTCTCTTTTGACACTACTAGAAACCTATCAGTCTTCGCTGTTAAGTAAAAATACTGGGAGGGGGGGCCGGGACTGCCAGAGGGGCGCCACCAGGCCGCCAAGAGAGCCCAAGAAGCCTTCAGGACCGCCCCAAGAGGGCCCGAAGAGAGCGTCCACGCGCCCAAGATGGCCTCAAGGCGGCCCCAAGTCGGCCAACCCAAGAGGGCCCAAATAACCCACCAAGGTCCCCAAGAAGCTTCGAGAAGGCAGTACATCGTGGGAGAAAAACTGTGGGTGCTCGATGCTTTCCGTTCGTCGCACGCTTTCCTCAAATGTGTCCTAAGCTGGCTTCAAGATGGCCCCCAGAAGCCCCAAAACGCCACCAGCATCGCCCAGGATAACAAAACAGTGAACAATAGTCGGCTCCAGGCTGCCCCCAAATTGCCCCAGTATTGAATACTCAGTATTGCCCAAGACCGTATCGAAGCTGGTCCCCGCAAGCCCCAAGACGCCCTCAAGAGGCTCCTGCATGGCCCAACAATGCCCCACCTGCCATCGCTCGGACATCCATTCCCCGTTCGTTGTTCGGCTTCGTGCGCGTCTATTTTCACCAGACCCACGCATGCGACGTCCTGAGTTTTTCAATACGGGGTCCCTGGAAGTCCCGACCCTTTCCCCGGGACCAGTTTTTCATCCAGAGTCATTTTTGTTGACAGTCCCGAGGCCTGGCGAGGGCCCCCCGAGGCCGAAATTGGCCAAAAAACCTCCTGTCCTGATTTTTTGTACGACGCAACCTTGTCTGAGGATTATCCACGATGCTCCTCGATGGCCCCCGCCGAGCAAAAGCGTCCACGTCCGAGCGAAGCCCAGGCCCAAGGCAGCCTCCCGAAGTGGGCTCGGGAGGGCTCCCCATTCCCCCTTTCATTCGACTTCGTGCGCCTTTTTATCACCAAATGATCCACGATGTCCCCCGATTGTCCCCACCACCACCACGACCACCACCACCAACACCACTGAGCCATGCATCCGACAGGACGCGTGGGCGGAAGAGTGCGCGATTGGCGATTGGCAACTCTTCGGATGAATCGCTAACACATGCAGCCTCCCGACGTGGGCTCGGGAGTAGGGAAACTAGCAATGACATAAACATAACAACTCGGAGGTCCGCGCGGATTTCTCGGATCGGCGTTGGACCCCTTTCCTTGGCGCGCGGAGGGCGCCAGGGGCGGCGCCGGAGGCGCCGCCAGGGGCCCCAGCGCCGGTCCGAATAATCCGCGCGGACCTCCAAGTTTTTATACTTCTGTTTGGGTCGGGCCTGGCCCCCTACAGGGGGATTTTGGACGACAAATTGAAGATACCCCAAAAAATACTCCCAAAATCCTCAAAAATAGTCGAACAAATTGTCCCCAGACTATGCTTGTACTATTCTTGAATATTCCTCTTGTAGAGGGACAGGCCCGACTTAAGTTTATGTCATTCTTCGTTCCCCTAGGGAGGGCCCTCCCGAGCCGAGCCCCGCCTGGGCCTGGGGGGGGGAAGGGGGGGCAGGCGGCAGAGGGCGCCCCCCCCCTCTCTTTTGCGGTGAAGCGGCCCGCCCCGCCCCCCCATCCTGGGGAAGCCCGGGAAGCCCAACGAGGAGGAGGAGGAGGAAGAGGAGGAGGGGGAGCAGGAGGCGGAGGGGGAGGAGGAGGCGGAGAGGAGGGGGGGAGAGGAGGGGAGAAGGAGGAGGAGAGGAGAGGGGGAGGAGAGAGGAGAGGAGGAGGAGGAGAGGGGGAGGAGGAGGCAGAGGAGGGGAAGGGAGGAGGGAGGAGCCGGGGGGATGGGAGAGAGGGGGGAGAGGGCGGGGCTGCTCCTCGACTAGCCAAGGTTGACACGCCAAGAAGCGATGACAATGTTCAGGGATGCGCCCTCAGAGCCTGAGGGGGATCCCCCTGGCATCGGCATCGAGCGGAGGCGATGCCAAGCACAGGTAGGGATAGGGACATGTTTGAGGCTGGTGGGCTCCTGGGCGAAGTGCGCCAGTTCGTGCCCCTCCGCCCCGTGGCCGTCCAGCACCTGGCGGGGCATTCTGGCGGAGGAGGAGGAGGAGGAGGAGGAGGAGGAGGAGGAGGAGGAGGAGGAGGAGGAAAAAAAGAAGGAGGAAAAGAAAGAGGAGGAGCAGGAAGAGGAAGGGCTGGCGCACGTGCAGCTGATGGATATGCATAACGCCCGAGCCGCGTGAGACCAGGGCCGCTGCCCTCCGACTAGGGGCGCCCCACCCCCGCGGGCGCCGGCGCGGCAGGCGCTGGCGGAGCGCCCCTCCCGGCTCGGCTCGGGCGCTCCAGAGCCGCTGCCGGCCAAGCCGGGGTCGCGCCCCCGACGCCACGCCACGGGGCTCGCGTCC